GTTTTTATTTGTAATAGTTATTCGCAATGTTACTGTTGATTTTTTTTGACATTTAAATTTGGTAAATCAGGTGTGAGTGAGAAAATTAATCGTTGTTCGTCTCGTTTGTCTTTATGTGTCCCTGTGATGGACTGGAGAGCTGTCCAGGATGTCCCTCACCTCTCACACAGTGACTGCTGGACATGGGAACCAGTGACCCCCATGACCCAAAAAGGGTAAAGATAATAGATGTACAAAATAATTATTAATTAAAACTTATTCCGGTCTCAAGACTTTTTAATTTTTTTTTTGTTCCTTGTGTCGGAACAGAAAGGGGGAGAAAGCTTCAGCTTTTCTGCTCCAACCTCATGGAACAGTTTGCAATCAAAGCTTAAACTTAGAACACCAGTAAAATCCCATTATGTTCAAGTTGCAGAAGTGCAATTGTTTTAATTGAGTAATTTATTTAATTGTAAGTCTATGTTTATTGTGACTATGTGTTGTAACTGAGTGTTTTTTATTTTTTTTTACTGCGTGTTTTTCCCCCCTCTCATGTATGCTGCCAGTCTAAGCCAGGTCTCTCTTGTAAAAGAGATATTTTGCTCTCAATGGAACAAACCTGGCTAAATAAAGGTTATTACTATTATAAAACAAATTTAATGACCCCCCAAGTGGCCCGCAGACTGGTAGTTGATGATTATGAATAATTCACACATGACACCTTCACGTTCATGTACCGGTACATGAAAAAGTCCATCCTATCAGTGGGAGTCCACCATCTAGCTGTAACTGAAATCATAAACACATGAAGAAAAATGTAAAATAAAATAAAAAATCAATCACATCATAATTTGATTTAAACCTGACATTTTAAGAGAGAAAAAAATAGTTACTGTTGTCTATGAATTTACAGGAAGGCCACAATTCCCAGTTTTTATTTCGGGTCCATGAACGCATCGTGTATTTTCAAGAGATACGGTCAAATTCTCAGTTTTATTGTAAACATGATTGATGAAATGTAAAGACTTAGAACTCAGAAAACTAACTTAACTTCTGACCTCAATATTTTTAGGGTAAGATATCATCACTTGTATCTAATAAAGTTGAGATATGTGCCAAATGTATCGTATTTGAGAAGCTACAGTTCCTTGTAAGTAGGTCAGGTCAACGAAAACAGCACTGCAAGCTAGCAAAGATAGCTACCGAAGCTAACCTTTTTTTTGCTCCTGAACCACCTGCTGCAGAAATAGCCACATTACGTCACTAACCTGAGCAACAGGTAAACTAACTGCAGATAATTCGCAGGTAGGGATGTGGAAAAGCTGAGGTGATGTGACGTGACTGAGAATTACCTGTGTGGACCCTTGACACCGTGTTTCCGGAGGCTCAAGTTGGTTTAACTTTTGTTGAGTTGTAGATTAAAAAAAAGTGTGTCAGCCTCCCTTTAATAGACTAACCAAAGTATAAAATACTTTTACACACTTAGAAATTTGGGTGAGCTGTGTACTTCAAAAGACAACGAGGAAGGCCAAAGAGAAGACATACAGGTGCTGGTCATAAAATTAGAATATCATGAAAAAAGTTTATTTATTTCAGTAATTCCATTCAAAAAGTGAAACTTGTACAGTATATTATATTCATTTAGTTACACACAGACTGATATATTTCAAATGTTTATTTATTTTAATGTTGATGATTGTAACTGACAACTAATGAAAACCCCAAATTCAGTATCTCAGAAAATTAGAAAATTATGAAAAGGTTCAATACTGAATACACCTGGTGCCACAGTCTAATCAGCTAATTACCTCAAAACGCCTGCAAAGGCCTTTAAATGGTCTCAGTCTAGTTCTGTGGGCTACACTATCATGGGGAAGACTGCTGACTTGACAGTTGTCCAAAAGATGACCATTGACATCTTGCACAAGGAGGGCAAGACACAAAAAGTCATTGCTAAAGAGGCTGGCTGTTCACAGAGCTCTGTGTCCAAGCACATTAATAGAGAGGCGAAGGGAAGGAAACAATATGGTAGAAAATAAGTGTACAAGCAATAGGGATAACTGCACCCTGGAGAGGATTGTGAAACAACCCATTCCAAAATGTGGGGGAGATTCACAAAGAGTGGACTGCAGCTGGAGTCGGTGCTTCAAGAACCACCACGCACAGACGTATGCAAGACGTGTTTCTGCTGTCACATTCCTTGTGTCAAGCCACTCTTGAACAAGAGAAAGTGTCAGAAGCGTCTCGCCTGGGACTGCTGCAGAGTGATCCAAAGTTATGTTCTCTGATGAAGGTAAATTCTGCATTTCTTTTGGAAATCAAGGTCCCACAGTCTGGAGGAAGAGAGGAGAGGCACAGAATCCACGTTGCTTGAGGTTCAATGTCAAGTTTCCACAGTCGATGGTTTGGAGTGCCATGTCATCTGCTGGTGTTGGTCCACTATGTTTTCTGAGGTCCAAGGTCAATGCGACCGTCTACCAGGAAGTTTTAGAGACTTCATGCTTCCTGCTGCTGACCAACTTTATGGAGATGCAGATTTCTTTTTCCAACAGGACTTGGCACCTGCACACAGTCCCAAAACTACCAGTATCTGAGCATGCATCAGGATACCAGTATCTGGTTTAAGGACCATGTTATACCTGTTGTAATTGGCCAGCAAACATGCCTGACCTTTACCTCATAGAAAATCTATGGGGTATGGTGAAGAGGAAGATGTGATACACCAGACCCAACAATTCAGAAGAGCTGAAGACCACTATCAGAGCAACCTGGGCTCTCATAACACCTGAGCAGAGCCACAGACTGATCGACTCCATGCCACGCCACATTACTGCAGTAATCCAGACAAAAGGAGCCCCAACTAAATATTGAGTGCTGTATATACTTATACTTTTCATATTCATACTTTTCAGTTATACATTTCTATTGGTCTTAAGTAATGTTCTAATTTTCTGAGATAGTGAATTTGGGGTTTTCATTAGTTGTCAGTTATAATCATCAACATTAAAAGAAATAAACATTTGAAATATATCAGTCTGTGTGTAATGAATGAATATAATATACACGTTTCACTTTTTGAACGGAATTACTGAAATAAATCAACTTTTTCATGATATTCTAATTCTATGACCAGCACCTGTGTGGATGCAGTTAAGGAGGGCATGGAGGTAGTTGGAGCTGGACAGAGGATGCAGAGGACAGAGTGAGATGGAGGAAGATGACTCGCTGTGGTGACCCCTGAAGAGGGAAAAGCTGGAAGAAGAAGAAGATGTACTTCACAATATCATTGTTATTGCTGCTGAGCTTGTTTGTTCCTATTGCATGTTCTTGGCTTCCTGACCATGGGACCAGCTGTGCTGTGGCTTGGATGAGCTCCAGTGTGCGTGTGCAGAGTAACCAAGCAAGATTTTGGATTGTTTGAGTTGGGTGAGATCTGGGCTGGGGGGCCACCTGTCACAGGGGCTTGCCCTGAGCAGATACCCAAACTTGCCTTTTAACTGGAAGCCAAGTTGTGGCTCTTTCATGTGGGCCTGATCTCCTTAAGACGTCAGCAAATATTGAACAAGACTCTGCCCAGACTCAAACACATCTGTTGTCATGTAGCCTCCACTGTTCGGCACAGACAGGGAGACAGAGGGAACAACAGTGGGTCTGTTGCATTAGCTCCTGTGTGGACACAGAGCTATAGTTTATACTTTACAAACACCAATGCTCAGTTTTGAGGAGCTTAGGCTAACTGTGTTCCTCTGTAAACAAATATGGGGCTGTGTGAAACTTAGTGCTAGATCTCTTCTGACATTTCATATGCCTCAGTCATGTCGCAGAATCAATCAGAAGTATTGTGGGATTGTTTTGGACAGTTGTGTTGTAGAATTAGGCTAGATTATAGCATTAAGTGTATTTTCAAACATTTGGACCTATACGAGAACTCGGAGAGAAGTGTACTGTATACAAGTCTAAAAGCAGACAAATTGCCTCAGAAATGCAAATAAACCATCAAATATACAAATCAACAACAAACAGTCTAACAAAACAGTCTGCTGTACTGTGAGCAAACATCTCACTGTTCCAGGGTCTGTTTAGGCTCTCTCTGCACTGTCGTAATTTACACAATATTTGCAGTCAGATATTTTCTGATCTCGCATAACTGGAGTCATATGTAGCTCCGTCCACCGTGGACAGATTGGGAAGGACTCAGCTGTTACCAGTGGCATTCTCATCGTCACTGAAACTCAACTTGTGTGACCGGTACGGCTAGTTTCACCTTGTTTCTCCTCCTCCACCAATCGCTTGTTGTCTTCTCTAAAACACATCCTCTTTTTCGTCATAGTTCCAAATGGTTGTGGTGTTAGGAAAATTTCTCTTTAGACTAGTTGGCAACTAAATTATTGTGAAGTTCTGGCTTTTTTCAGCTGAGACTTCGATCAGGTAATTTAAAGATTTTGTTGGCTTTTTTTGTCTTATTCAACTATGATGTGTTGTCATTTTTTAGCAGATGGTGTTTGAGATTTGGTTTGAACGTTCAGAAATGTTTAGATCTTTATGTCTGGGTGGTGGGTTGTTTACAGGAAGAAGTTTAGTTTGTTTTTCATACCTGGGTAAAATACATTCATTGGTGTGGTAGTGAAAACAAAGTCCTCGCAGTCAACAACAATACGTTTTGTATTCCTTTTACACAGTGAAAGTCTTGAAAAGTCTGTTGATCGACTAAATCCCCTCTTCCTTTTGCTGAGAAACTATGTACTTAAATTATAATCCTTGCTGTACTTTGAATTAAAGTATAATCTAATGTGTAAAACCAGAAATCAAATCTGGAGCACAACAGGAAAATCTGATTTAAGCTTTTCTATTGGTTTTCCAAAGTTCTGTGTAAGTCTTGGCACTGCTACTTATAATTGTAGATGCTAAAATTAAGTATACTTTACATTTTGATCTCTTTTTTAAATAATGCTGGGCTGGTAACTTTACACGGGTAGAAAAACTTTTTTTTTTTTCACTGTTGTTTTCTCTTTTAACAGGTATCGCTCAAGATGGATTCTAAAAAGAAGAACTTTTTGGAGAATTTACGTTTTAAAACGAAGCTACTCCACCTTAAGAAGCCACGTAAGAACAAGCCGCTTGCTAAGCAGGGGAGGCATATAGCTAATCGGCGCAGTGTTTCGGTACCGGACCTAACATTTGTCCCAGGTGAAGCAGAGTCGCCAGTAAGCCCTTTCCAGTCCACTGCTTGTGATGCCATCTACTTTCGTGCCCCTCACGGTCTGAGTGATACCGATTCTGTTGCCAGCAGCTCCACGTCCGATGGATCCTTTTTAGCGAACAAACTCTGTGAACCTTTCACAGAAGTCACCTACAGAGTTCCTCAGATTAATGACTCTGCCACACAGGCGAACCGACTGAGCGTGCCAGTCGGGAATATTTATGAGGAAATAAATAATGCGAAAAATTCAAGCCCAGGAAACAAAGTAACCTTCGTGGAGGAAGGCCTGTATGTACATATGGATACAAAAAACAACAAAAAGGCTCAGAGATTTTCATTCCCAGAAACAGGATATGAGGACGACTCAAAATCGGAGCGAGGGAGTCTGTTTGGTGATGAACCTCCAGCAGACAGACGGGTCTCAGACACTGTCAGTGACTTCCTGATCCGAGCAAACTCGCTGGGGAATGAGAAACGCCCTCACATAGATAAAAGCACCATGTTGACTGAGCCAAAAAAGACGTCAGCTGAGAAAGGACCAGTACAAACAATCAGCGAAAATTTCTCTGCAGAGATGATGTCTCTGTTAGATAATTCTTTTGAGACTTCAGATGCTTTATCGGCCTCTGCAATCGGCACTTCCATGGAGGAACAGGCCAGCACGCCTTGGATGTTAGAAGTGGACGAGGAAGAGCTGGAACAAGAGTCGTCATCCTCGCTGATGAGAGACTTCTGCATGGATGAGGGACTAGAACTGGAGGAGTCTCTGGAAGAGGTTAGTCTAACTATAAATCAACTCTCAAATGTCTTTAAATCCCCTCTAATATAGTGATATTTTGCTTTCAATGAGACAGATTTTCTTGTAATGTCAAAGTGTTTTGGATCAAAAGTTGTCCAAGCTTTCTGAAAGTCTTTCCAAGTTTTTCTGTTCAGTTAATGTGCATGATCATAATGACATATGGTGCATTGTGTCCCTATACTATGAGGAAAGTGGAAACTAAAAGAAGAGTGTCAGACTTAAGAAAACTATCTGTATTAGATGAACAGAATTGGAAAGTCTAGTTGTTAGAAAACAGAACAAAATACCTGACACAGGACGTAAGAGATGCACCATCCTTCATTTGCTCATCTACTGAGTGACAAGGTTTCAGTTCATTGCTCTTTGGTAATAGCACTATTAGCATAAGAATGCCATTTTATGTTTGATAAACTGTGTTTTTGGTATTTATCATAGTCAACCATTGAACTGGGGGCAAACTGTGTTCTTGTGACAAACTGCTTGTAATACAATGTCATTAGCTATTTTAAATTGTTCCTTTGTTAAGTTGTCTGAGTATGTTGTCACACTGGTTCATCTATGTTTGAATGGTTCAATGATCAGAGGTAAGTAGCCCTAACAAGCTACCACCAGCGACAACATAAAACTACACTGAAAATGGTCAGGTTCTGGACAGATGAGTGAAAAAGTAGTAAAAGTAAAATAAACAAAAGAAAGAAAGGTCTGCAGAAAGCCTGAAGACCTGTTGGTTCAGACCTTTTAAAACATTTACGGAGAGTCTGGCTGCAAATTATGAAAGTAGAGGGGTAGAGTGCTGTACATACTGTGAACGTGGAACAGAAAATTATAGCACAGTTTCACATCAGGGATTTCTTTTAACAGCAATTCAGAAATCAGAGACCTTGTAACCGTTCAATTTCTTAAAAGAATACATAGATAAGTGTACTATTTCTACTAACAGTTTGATTAACATGAGATTATAAAGAGCATATTTTAAATAAATACAATAAGCATAGTAAAATAAGGAACATTTTTATTGTTTTATGGAAAAACACTGTACACATTTACCCAAATGGTTTCTTTTCCCTGTTAAAATAATGTTTGATTTGCATCATTGTTTTAGATTTTTAGGAATTAAATGTTATTACATAGTTGCTTTCACAGATGGTCAGTTCATTTGCACCACTTTATTTACTAAACACAATGTTCGTAGGCTTGTGTTCACTGCAGTGACCCCCATAGATCGGACTCAGTGGTGTCCTGTTTATCTCCATCTCTAGATTTGTGTTGGGAACTGTGCAGGAACCAGTTAAGAACCCGTGTTACAAGTCAGTTGCACAATGTGAAGTGAAATGCTTTACAAAATGAACACACAGCTTGATCAATCTGCCTTTATGGCAGCACATTTACACGTGGTGTCCTAAAAAAGATTATTTAAAGTGATAAAATGTAAACAGAATGAAAGTAACAAGCAGCCATTTTCAAATGAAAATCACTTAATTTTTATGTTTGAGGAAAGTTCACATCCAAACATGCCATCCTATTTTGTTCTGTACTGTTCACATGATGTTTAATACAAAAAAAAAAGTTACAATATTTGTTCTTGTAGAATTCTGCTGAAGCGTGTGAAGGTGAAAATTCTGCAGAAGCCTGTGAGGGCGACGATCTCGACGAAAACGACGTAGAGCCAATAGATTGCTCTGTGAGTATTTACTCGCTGAACTCATCTGAGCAGCTGATGTTAAACCATGTGTAAATGTGAACGGGTTCTCCACAGGACGTTTTGTCAGCAAGCTCAGGCCTGGGCGCTCCAATCCCCAACCCGCTTCAGAGGTACCTCCTCATCATTAACCTGAAGGAGGGAAGGAACCTGGTCATCAGAGACAAGCGCTCTGGTAGGTTAGCAACACACAGATCACCTGCTAAACACCTGTTCCACTTTAACTGGTGTCTAATTTAGACTCCAACTTAATTCATCTTTGAGCTGTTTTCTTGACCATCGGCTGATTTAAACACCCACAGCTGAAGCAGTACAGAGCGGTGTTGTTGCATTTGTAGACTAAAGGAATGTAGATTGTTGTCCATATCTGATGGGTGAGCCCTTGATGAAATGCTGCATGTGAACACAGCGTGTTGATTTAGTCAGCTCCTTGTAATTTTGAGCTATAAGACAAAAGAGTTGCATATTAGGCATGTGCTAATGTGTGCCACAAGCAAACTGGGTGTGCACTGGAAATGCTTTAATTCTGTTTTGCTGCAAGGGTGACGTCTCTTGTTAAACAATGCACACAAAAAAAACATTTAGAAAAGTATGCGGTTGAACCCGTGTGACAAACAGATAGCCTGGGATAAAATTACAATTCTTTTTCAAAAACATACACTCCACACACAAAACTAATTATTCCAATAAACATTTTTTAATAGATGTTACAGCGAAAGAAATGTAATTTACTTCACCAAATTGTTACGCTTTTTGTAATTACAGTAAGATATTTTTATTGAACTATTTAGTTTGTCTTTTTCGTCCTCGATCTGTGCAGGATTATTTAAGGTCAGAGTCACATTTTGTCACCCTGAAAATATATATTTAAAGTTCATATTCTGGGAACCAATAGTATATTTGAATTCAGTCATTTGAAACAATTCATTATAAAAGTACATTTTAATGTATTTTACAAGCACATTCATGAAACTAGTTGATGTTTTGAAAAGTGGTTTTAATTTTAGAATATTATTTCATGAGTAAGAAAGACGGAAAAACTTTTTTCTATTTTTTATGCACTATTTTTCAGCACCAGACTGAAAATCTATAGTTTGCTTTGAGATAGCAGCGCCCTCTGATGGCAAAAAAAAATGAAATGACAACATAATGAGATCAATTTCTTTCATTCATTCAACCTTTATTTATACAGGTTAATCCCACTGAGTCTCGAGGAGAGAGATCTGAATAATAATAATAATAATGCTTATGTGGTCTCAAGCATAATTTGTTCATTCAACCTTTATTTATACAGGCTAGTCTCATTGAGCCACGAGGACTCGTTTACAAGAGGAACCTGTTACAGACAAAACATATAAAGTACAACAATAACAATAAAGTACAGTAAAAATGCAATTACAAGTCACATCACTAATTCAAACCAGCCAAAACAGACAACACGCTGCAACATGGACGCTTATTTTGGCCTGTGCTTGTGATTAAGTAAAAAAACAAGCTCAGATGTGTTTTTAGAACAACAATAGAAATAATTTCTAGATGCAGTCACAGCTTCATCAGTAATATTTGTAAGTAAAACCCTCGAGACCAGTCATTACCTTATCGTAAATCTTGTACCTTGAGAATCTCTTCAAGGTTTGGAAATATTCTGTTTTTCGTCCCATCAGGTGAAAAGGGACCCTTTGAGCTCGGTGCCCTCTGCTAGTTGAGACCTTACACTTTCTGACAGGATGGCACATTGATGATGCAGTGCCCACACACACGCCCCCTGTCCCTCCACTGTTTGCCCAACAATCAGCACTATGCCAAAGGCCCACCAATGGCACACACTGTCATTACATATTCTGAAAGGACCCACACCACCAGCCCCCCGCTCCTTAGGGTTTTTGTTCTCTCTTTTTTCCCCCCCATTAATTTCCATCGTCACCATTCTCACTCATGCCAGAGCTTTTTCTCCTTGCTAGCTGCCACATTCTCCTCCTGTCAAGTTGCCTGGAGGTTTCCCTGTCACAGGCTGGCAGGGTGGAGCTGCTGTGGGTCCTGCCTTCCTTTTGCGAGATGTTCATTTGGAGTGGGGAGCTGACAGGCCTGACAGCCCATCCCCACAGGGCCTTTGTCATGTGATTCAAGCCTCCCCGCAGGCTCTCTCAAGCACCCTTTATTCCTCCTATACAAATGAAGGCATGGGGGCTGGCTTCCATTTTTTTGGCCAATCTGCGTGCAATTGCAGAAACAAAGAAGTCCGATACCCCCACCCCGCTCACAGACAGACTTTCTTAACAGGCTTGGGAGATTAACACTGGTTGCTTCTAGATTTTGGCTTCTGGCTGCCTCACACTGGCTGGCGAGTGTTTCCACTCTGACAATTAAGCAGCTACTTTCCTGTTTATGCCATGTGTGGGGTGCGCACGCCCTACCCACATACAACAGTATCTCGCACAATCATCATGGGGGGAGGGTGTGCATTCATATGTCTTCATACCCTCAGTATGTTTTAGATTGTAAAGTAATGTCTCACTTGATGCATTAAAAGTGTTCACCACCACATGTCCTCAAATCAAACATACATTGTTTTTACTGGTAATATGATAACCGTTTGTCCTTATCTTGATTTGCTTGTTTTTATTTGTGTTATTTCAGGTACAAGTGATCCATATGTTAAATTCAAACTAGAAGGAAAACAATTCTATAAAAGCAAAACGGTTCACAAAAACTTGAATCCTCGATGGAACGAGTCTTTTTCTCATCCTCTTCGAGACAGAGACCACATTGTAGAAGTTCGGGTAGGCCTTCTTTGTTTAAATATATTATAACATTAAAGTCTCTCAGTTCAGTTCGAAAAATCATTTTTACTTGAGATGTTTGTTTTAACATTGCAGGTCTACGATAAAAATCTCACCTCTGACGACTTTATGGGTTCAAGTACTATATCTTTGAGAAACCTGGAGTTGCAGAAGTGAGTCCTTGATATACATTTTTTTAAAGTGTTTAAGGGGAAAAGTTATCTTAAAGATGTCCTCATGAGGTTTTTTTTTTTGTTTTTGTCTTTCCACAGAACCCAAGAGTTGGAGTTGCATCTCAGTGATCCGAAAGGAAAAGAAAATGATTTGGGAGTTATACTTGTTGACATCCGCCTCGTGTTTAGGGACGCCACGGTCAAAAGAGCCCCTGTATGAATTTCTCTGCTTTAAAAAACAAAAAATATATATTTGTTGATAACATTTTTAATCCTTTTGCACTAATGAATGCCTTCTCTTTTTATTATATAGCGATTTCGTGCAAAAAGGAATAAGGTAAGACTTGTTTTTCAGCCTAAGATTACCACATTGTGTACAGAATTAAATTTTCTATTCAACTTTTTCATTTAAGTGCTTATGTTTAGCTTATGTACAACACTAGGGGGCAGTAGCTCACTGTGGAATGGAGGAACAAAGACCACAAGCGATATCTGGATTTGCTTTTGTGTATAATCTTGTTTTCAGTGCAGTCTATAATATGCTCTGTGGATTTGTAGTTAATCTTTTTTGTAAATTATATATTTTTTTCGTCTTCTGTTACAAAAATATATAAAATGATATCCTAAGAATTTAAATCAAAGTAAAAAAATTGGCTGAACTTGTCAACAAATCCATAAGCTAAATATTAAAGATGTTGTGTTTAGCTGTAAACAAAGTTCTGTTTTTCCTCACGTGGTTTTCAATATATTACCGCCGTAATTAGATTCAGAGTGAAATTGGAGGGTTGCTGTTTGGGACTCACATTGCAGCGAGTGGGTTTATGTTCACACCTATACTGTCACTACATCTGCCACTGTTCAGTCTCTTGATGGTCCAGTAGGCAATCTCAATTTGAAATTAGATGACAAAGAAATGGATGCCATTTTCATACACATCGTAGGTTATACGCTACAGATGGTTAAAGATACTCAAAGGGAGGCAGAGATGTGTGGTGGGACCGTGCACAATGCTTTGCCGCCTAAATCAGAGTGCTAATTTAACAACGTAACAATGCAATTTTTTTCCCCACTCTCATTTCATTCTGGACTGACGGGCAGTATCTTATTGCATTTAACACCTATCCTGGAAGAGCTTAATACTCAGCTCTTACAGCTCCGCTCCCCCTCCATCAGAACATCGTTTTCTCCCTCTGCGATGCCACCACAGAGACCGGGAATGGCAAGTGCCTAAGTAAAACTACTGTGTGATAGTGTTTCAAACAGGAGGGGGCGTATGGGAGAAGCAGAATGTATTGGGTGGGGGCTTGCTTGTTCGAGGCACATTGCCAATGTGGGATGCCTAAGATCGGCAAGGCTGATAATTCCCAGGCATGGCGAGCAATAACCCAGATGTTAGAATGTAATATCACAGCTGTGGATGGACAGTGCTGAGGTGCCAGCCAAATGGACCTGGGTCTGAGCTCATCATGCTTGTCCCCATGCTGTCCCACCATATGGAAGCAATCGCACAGCCCTTTTAGGACCAGGAATAGATTCTCTTTAGGGGCCACTTACAGTTAAGTGGAATTGTTTTATTGGCCGCTGAGATAGAATTGTGTCCAAGATAAACACTTGGGATGACTTGGCTGAGGCCTGCTTTATATCGCTCCCCTACTCCCTCTGTTCCTCTTCTTTTGAAGGGGCTGATATTTATAGGGCTGTGCCTGTGGTATTCCATGTTAATTCAGGTCCCTGAGATATGCTTTGATCCCCTCCGGATTGGGTGGCAATGTGGGTTGTGACCCCGTAGTGATGAGGAGGAGCCGGAGTAGCAGGGGAGTTGCAGCAAGGCTGTTTGAAGCGGCGTCGCCGGGGCAGCCGAAGGAGCGAGGCAATCAAAGAGGCTAGAGCAGATTACGCTCCTGCTCTTTAATTACAGTCAGCTCTACACAACCTCTGTGCTGTTTGTTTTTACAGCCCTGGCCTATCACCGCACGGCCTCATGGGAACTCGAAACATGGAAACGTATCAAGGCCTCTCTGCCTCATCACTACCATCGTGGCACACGGCAGGATAAATGGATTACTTGCAGGGCTGGCCTTTATTTCCTAGGTGTTTTGAAAACAAATTACTTTGGTTAGTTTTATAGCTCACTTTAGTTGGAAAAATATTGTTCTTCTGGTCAAATAAAAAGTGGATGAATCAGCCAACATGCAGTAAACTCTGATGCCGGCCATACATACTGCATGTATGCATAATTTGCTGATGAGAGAGCTGTGCGGTCTGCATCATTACTCACTGCTGCCTGCTGTCTCCGGTGCAGTATGCCAAGTGTCCTGCCTCCCCACACTCAGTCTGGAAGCCAGTGATGAGTGGGACTGTCACAGCCAGGGACATCTGGCTGCTCGCTGACGTTCCTCTCTTCCTCTTTTTTCCAGGAGCCTCCACGGTGTGCCTCACTTGTCAGTAGAGATGTGCTAATGTGCTCCAATAGAGATGCTCCTCTATAGTGTAAACCTTTGTCCCACTTTCGTGCGATATGTGAACATGATGATGTGTCAGGCAGGTGAAAGGAGGGGAAAGTGCAATGCTTTCATGTGAGGAGTTAAAAGAAAGGAAGATGGGTGGGCAAAGGGACTAAAAGAAGTCATAACTGTCTGTGTGTATCTTTGCCCTGCAGCAGAACCTAAACTCTGCCCCACGCGTAGCTGAAACACCAAAGAACCAGATGAAGAACCAGATGTGGACAGGCGTGCTTCATATCACTTTAGTGGAGGGACAGGACCTGCCGCAGTACGGCCAGGGTGACATTTACGTCCGCTTTCGCCTCGGTGATCAAAAGTACAAGAGCAAGGTTGGACTGACGTTTTATTTTTTATTTTTTTAATTTAAGATTATTTCCTTCCTACTTGATTTTCCCTAATGCCTCTCAGTCTTATAATTGCCTGAGCTTTATGGTTTAACTTTCTTCTTGCTCTTATCCTTTTACTTCGCAGCTTTTCTCCTCCCAGCAGGTGTCTGCCAGTGACTCACCTCCACCTTGGCTCACTGGGCCATGGCAGAGGCAGCTCATTAGACTGGGCAAGGCTGCCACTCACTTCTCAGTGTGCCGCGAGTGCTGGGCTTCATTTCCTTCATTTACATACCCAGCATGCCCTGTTCATCTACCTGTATTTGTTGCCCCCCCCTCCCCCGATGATTCCACGGTGCACTTGTCTCGTGTTGTCGTGTCATTTCTTTGTAAACCACTCCGCTTTCCTCTCTGCTTGTTTGTTTGTTGAACAAAGCTGATTCTAATTGGAAGCTGTCAGTGTTTACAATCCCAGAGTGGCAACTGAGGTGTACCCGTACAGGCACACACAAACAGATACACGCACACCTCACTTTTTGCTCCCGTGCTTCTTTTCCTTGGGCATAACAAAGACTTAATCCACATGTCAAGGAGGAGGCACTCCTTCTGATAATACATTAAACCTGACATTGTGTCAAAGTGTATATAAGTGTGTTTCCATGTTACAGTGGGAGCTGAAGCTGTGGTTTTGTTACTCTTTCAGAACCTTTGCATTCAGGCGAATCCCCAGTGGAGAGAGCAGTTTGACTTCAGTCAATTTGAAGATAACCAGGAGCCTCTGCAGGTGGAGGTGTTCTCAAAGAGAGGGCGAAAAGGAGAAGAATCATGGGGAATGTGTGTATTTCCTGCGTGTTAATTTTGCTCATTGGTTTGTCCACAGAGACTGTCAGGTCTAATCTTTCAATGTTCTTTTGGTGTCTCAGGTGTGAGGTTGACGTATCAAGGCTTCCTTTAAATGAAAGGCAGCTATACACACATGTGTTGGACCCAGGAAAAGGCAAACTGGTGTTCCTGGTCACCCAGAGACCTTGCTGGGGAGTCTCCATCACAGACGCTGACAAACCTACGTTGGGAATTCAAGAGGAGAGAGACGCAGTCATGGAAAAATTTGTAAGAGCATATATATTTATGGAGAAATTAAACGTTTATCATTTTGTTAATCTTAAGATGGCTTATATTCTAAATATGTGAATTTGAATACATTTTGACCTGCTTCAATATTTACGTAAAAACTTTTGCAGACGATTTTTTTCCTTTCAGAATCTAAGAAACTCTCACAAGTGTTTACAAGAAGTTGGCATCCTTCAGGTCAGCGTTCTGAAAGCAAATGATCTTCCAGCCACAGACATCAATGGTAAAAAGCCATTTGCTTTTACATTTGCTCTGCTCATGTTAATGGCCTCTTCTTTACATTAAACAATAAAACATCTTTTATCTTTCACAGGAAAAAGCAATCCCTTCTGTGTTATCCAGCTTGGGAACTGTAAACTTCAAACCCACTCAGTGAGCAGGACTGTCAACCCAGAGTGGAACAAAACATTTACATTGTAAGAAGACCTCTCGAAACAAATCTCATTAGATAAACTTTGTATTGCATATTTGAAAGTAAGGAAGTATGTGTTTTATTTCTTTAAAGACCAATTAAGGACATTAATGAAGTGGTAGAGCTGACTGTCCTGGATGAAAATGGAGACAGAGCCCCAAATGTTTTGGGGAAAGTGGCTATCCCTTTATTGACTGTAAGTTTGTTAAATTCACTTGGTGTCTAATTATTGATGCCACAGTTACTAACTATAAATACATTTGAAAATGCAATTAAACATGATCTGTGTTTTAAAATCTTAAAGGTTCAGAATGGCCAGCAGGTATGTCTGTTTTTGAAGAAAGAAGACTTGAGTAGAACTTCTAAAGGAACCATCACGCTGGTGCTGGATGTTGTCTATAACAAAGTATGGATCACATCGAATGCGCTCAAGTGCTTCCTGATGAATGTAGCATTTTGTTGTATGCATTGTCAACTAAAAGAGTAAAGAACTGCAAAACTTACCTTAGGTCTGTCGCGATAAACAATAAATCAATTAATCGCATGATAATTGAAAATTACCTACCTTATTTTCATTTATCGGCTTTATCGTTTCTTTGTGTCTCTCTCTTTCAGCTGAAGACACTGGATCACAAAGGCTCAACTTCGGTGCTCTTCACTGAACCTTTTTCTTTTTTCTCTTTTCTTTGAAATCCAGTTTAACCGTCCAAAATCGCGTTTTTGGATCGTTAAAAGCAGCTAAGCTAAGAAGCTAAGCTAACAGGCTGACCTCGGGAAAAAACTCCGTCTTGTCAAAGCTCCAAAATTCACGGTTGAAACTCGTGCCTTCGTGTAAAAAGTTGTTTTTCCTCTGCAAAAAGAAGCTGAGAACTTGTTTACTGATTTTTTTATTAAAAGCTTTGTGTGAAAAATGAGAGAGACAGCCCATGTCACGTCAAGGGGCCTCCCTCCCATTTTTCTTAAAGAGACACGATGCTCGCTCCCTCACTATCCATCCTTCGGTTGTTTTATACACCAGTTTTATACTGCCATCTGGTGGTCATAAAATGGTACTAGACACAAAAATTAACCAATATTTCTTCTTAAATTGGACAATAATGACTAATTATTGTCAAATTTCAAACAATATCATCGCAATAATTTCTGAGACAATTAATCGCCCAGCAAAATTTGTTATTGTGACAGGCCTAACTTATCTTTTGTTCTCTATCCCAGATCAGAGCTGGTTTCAGAACTTTTCAACCAAAGGAGACCAAGTTAATTGAGGAAAACCTGAAGTTCAACAAAAAGGTGATCTCAGCCAAAACAATTTTTTAGTAACTTAACCGATTAAAAAATAGGCCATATTCCAAGTAATTTATTTAACTGCCTTTAACCTCATGGACAGCAGTTACACATTATAAAGCTGATTTATCTTTACTGCAAAGTGATAAACATTATTTCCATTATCAAATAATACAAACCTGTGCTTTCTTTTAATTGTTTTCCGCCAGGTTCTAGCCAGGAATATATATCGGGTTCGAAAAATCAGCACAGCAGTGTTGTACACGTTACAGTACATTAAAAGCTGTTTTCAGTGGGAGAGCACGCAACGGAGTCTAATAGCCTTTCTGGTAAGTCATTGCCACACGTTAATGAACTCTCTTTAAGCCTTGAGGCGAACAAGTTTTGCCCCGTTTCACTGCAACTTCGACTTAACTCTTTCTCTTTTTGTGTGAATGAGATGTTAAGGCAAATCTACGCTTTAGCCGTTTTCCCTCTTCTAGTCTTTTTCCCATGAAAAACAATGGCTGCCTTCTGTTTTTTTTTCTATCCCCCTGCGCATGTGATGGACGTGATTCATCCTTTGAATCAAACCCCACTTGGCTTTCCTTCAGTTCTGATGACATTAGAGTATATTCGAAAGGGTGGGGTTTTGGCGTTTGTACATCTGACTTCTTAGCAAAGCCTTCTAACCCAGGGGATGGTGTAAGGAGGATCACAGTGTGAGCTTCCTTTGTTGAAGTAGTGACAGTCAGCCTCTGAGATTTGAACCTTGTTTAAATGGCTCTGTTTAGCTGTTTTAATGAGGGTATGTGATCTTAGGTCCTAAGCTTAAATAATCTTAAAGCATCTAGTGAATCTCCCACAGCACAGCCCATGTAATGTCATGATTAAGAGTGCACAATTGCCATAAAAACCCTGGCAGCGCTGTGTCAGGGTGAGGAAGCGGTCACAGACAGGGTGTGTGAAAAACTCTCCTTTCATGGCCTTTCTTCTGTCTGCTCTGTCTCAGGATGACATGCAATTCATACCTGGTGTATTCTATAAGCCCTTCTCACTGATACTGAGGTGCAAATCCCCTCAGGTGATGGCCAGGCTCAGTGTATCACAGTCTTTAGAAGAGCACAGCATACAGACAGACAGGCGGACACACAGACAGGAAGACGGAGAACAATGCCGGCAATTGTATAAGGATAAAGTGGGAGGCAGGCTACTATCTGGGAAAGAAAGTTGGAGCAGCAAAAGAAGATGGCTCAGTGAGAGTGGGGGCAGATAGCGAGAGACTTGTGAGGCGGGAGTGCAGGATAGGCAGGTCTGACAGGTGACAGGTCAGCAGGATGGGGCCATCTTCTTCCACCTATAATTAGATCCTCCGCAGGCGACGTGTGCTCACAATAAAACACTGATCTTTCATTTCCACTTCTACTCCACCTGCCGTTTAGAAGTATAGCACACAAATAGACATGCTAGAATAAAGGGAAAATACTTGCTTATGCTATTTCCAAGACAGCAACCACTCATTTGTTTGTTTGAAACAACAACCCCAGCACACCAGTTGAAATGCTCAAAAGCAGCGAGTTAGAGAGAAGTCTGAGTACAGCTCTGTCTGTGAAGAGGAGCGCTTCATACAGTCCACGTGTCGAAGGTGATTGTTGAGAAGTGCACAGAGTAGAGCAGACACTGATATTCATCAACCACTCTTCTGAAGACTAAAAGTTCATTGAGTGAAAAGTTCTTTTTTGTGGTCAATGTTTTTAGCATATACTCAACAAGTAATAAGCGTCGATAAAACATGCAAATCACATGTAAATATTATAGCAGAACGTACATTGCTGTCTAAGAGTCAGCGAGGGCACAAAACAAGGTCTTGGCTGACTGTTGTTACAAGCCGAGTGCCATGCTACTTTCCACACTTATGCCCCTGCCCACTCCAAGGGCGTCCACCGTACAGTCGCTTCTCCTCCTCCAAGTCATCATTTCCAATTAGGTTAGTGTTTGGAGCTGTCTAAAGCAGCATGCCACCGTGTGCTCTAATGAAAGCAGCTCCCACTCCTATCTTTATATCTTTAGGCAGTGGTAATAAGGTAACTGATTCAGACATTGACAGATGGCCTCTGCTTGCCTCTCAGATGTGCATAATTATACCACTAGTGTCTGCTCTTTTCCACAGCGGCAGGCAGAGCGGGCTTTCTCCGAGTCGGAAACACTGCAGTGGTGGGTCTAGCTTTAATATACATTACAATACATTATTTATCACGCAGGCTGGCCAATCCCTACCCTTTTACACTGTATATACATCCTGTAATGCATTACCACTGCTGTGATTTTTTCTTTTTTTCCCTGCGACTGTGGGATGCTCACGTAGTGCTTTACCAGGAATACTCAGCCATTATTTCACTCAGTCCCACAGGCCGATTTGTTGACCTCCTCACAGCATGAACTGCACATTTCTTTCCAGTTTATGCAATTTCTTCTATGCAATATGAAGTGGTTGTTAGGGTGTAAGTTATTCAAATTTTCCATGAGGGATCTCCACTGTGGTTTATGTTAAGTGGAGGTTTTATATTTAAATATCAAGATGATTCTCCCCCCATGAGAGGCAAAAATCATAAAGCTGCACTTTTTTTTTTTTTGATGCCATGACCGGCATAAACAGCAAGTTCCTGTTTTGGAACGGAAAGATTTATGGTACTGGCTTTCTGTTTATGAGTTTAAGAGGTCACTCTTTTTGATTGTTCAAGCTCGCAGTCTGCTCTGTGTAAAGTTCAGTTTTCCACTCGTATTTAAAATAGCATCTTTAATTAGAAAATGTAATAAATATAAATAAATTTAAACAGAATTCTGGCAAATTCCTCATGAACACTATCAGTAAATGCAAACGAGATATTTAGACTTTTTCTTCCCCCCCGTCGTCTTGTTTATGCTGCGGTAATGAGCTGAAGATCTCTGCTTTTCAAGAGTTTGACAACAGCGTGTTTACTTCTCTTCGAGAGAGAAAAATGTGACAGCTAAACTTTTCATAAAATAATCTCCTTTAGATGTGCTTTTCACTAAGACCGAGCGAGATAAATGCACTATACATCAGCAGCGACTGCAGAGGGGTCACCCAGAGTTCTTTGCTGCGTGCAGGCTTGTCGCCTGTAGATGGTGGTGCAGCACTGCTAGAAGCACGAGCTGAAAGGATCAGCTCAGTTACTACTTCTAACAGGAGCCATTTGTGGAAACAACTTTGAGTGAAATCCTCCATTATGCGCATTACAAGAGACACATGTTTCTTTACCTCGCTAAAAGAAAAGACGTAAAGCTAAACGGAGTTAGCATTAGCCAGACAAATTAATCACTTTGAGAAAATAGGAACCGTTTTGATTTAGATGAAATGGAAGTAAAAAAGGGGGATAATTTACACTTAAAAGCAGATTTTGAGATTTGCTGCCATTAGACCACTTTAAGTATTTAGGCAGAATTAAAATTTTAACATATCGGGTACCTCATCTGTCAGGATTTAGACAAGAAAGAAATCTGCACAGGTATCTTTTTGACACTGCCAGGTAGCAACTGGTTTAGACATCGTTTGACAGCTTGTGAAATGCTGATCGCCTCACATCACACACTGTAAAGATGGCCTTTGATGAATGTTTGATGCGGTGCTGCTGTAAACACACTTGGCAGCTGCGGCGGGTGCTGATAGACTCATCGTCTCCCCAGATGAGGGCAGGACTGGGTCAGATCTGGCTCCAGAGGTCTCGGGAGACCACCTGAGCAGAGCCGCAGCAAGTCAGGGCCATTACCCAGAACACCGAGATCAAGGCCGAAATCAGAGTTGTCATAATTGTTCTTGCTAACACTGTCCCTGAAAATGAGATGCCTTTTGTAAGCCTCGGTTCTTTCTGTGCTTTACTGCAATGCAGTATGGCCGAGCATTTGTGAGAACAGCAAGAAGACTGTGAGCATGTGAGTTGTCTCCTTTCTGCGTTGCATCTGTTTTCTTTCTGTTTGGAAAAACTTGGGGGCCTTAAAGGAGTTGGTATCTGCCGTCTCTTGGGGGTTGCGCTCTCCATTGCATCGGCTGTGGGAGTTCTCACAAAGAGTGCAGTGGGACTGCGTTTTATTGAGAGAGAGAAATGATGGCGATATGCTTGTGTTTAGTTTCTTTTGGTTGTTGTTGTTTTTTAGCCTGAGATCTGTTAATTATTGAAGTCTAGTCTGTGACGATGTACAAAATGCATCACAACTTTCCTCGATTTAAAACTTGTTATTTAGCTGCCTTCAGGTGGAAGCTGAGGCTGGCCACATGCAGAACATTGAAACTCAGTAACTTATTGGTGTAATTAATAACCTGATAATATTGAGTTTATCATGGCAGTTTCATTGTCCCGTGCCTAATTTGTTTTGAAAGGTTTATCGTTAATATTTACTATACTAAAACAAACAAAAAAATGTGGTTAAACATGAGTAAAGATGTTGATCTGTGCATGTGTTGCATTTTATTTTGTATTCGGTGCGTTGTTTTTGTGAGACACACAATGGCTCGCCACCTTCCCGCTCACAGAGGACACCTCTCTCCATGCAGCTGAAGTAGCGACCTGTCCGCTCACGTGTGACTGTTTTCAAGGCCGGTCTTGGCCCTGACGCAGTAACGTGTGTGAGCTGAGCTGACAGAGGGGGAGTCCTTTCCACCACCACCGCCGCTACGCTCCCCACCTCCTCAGGGGGAAAAGGCTCGCATGGCAGATCTGTCACCCAGGAGGTCGCTCAGTGTTAACGCTCCCGACACGGATTAAACACTAGTGGCCAGTGCCGGAGAGCGGGGTCAGTGTAGCCACCACTGACAGGCATCACAGAGCCCCTGCTGACTGCCCTGCTCCAGCCTTGCGCTGGCTCCTCTCATGTGTCCGATAGGCAGGGAGCCTGTGAGCACATGCTAATGCTTTGTCCTCCCTCATGCTTCAGTAGAAAATAAAAATTGTATTACAATGAACTGCGCTGTAGAAATTTGTATTTGCTCATATTGTTTACAACATTAAAGAACACTAATTTGACAGGAAATCTAATATTTATATTTAATTTAACCATGATTTCATTGCAACTTGTATTTTTATTGTTCAAAATAAAAAATAAAAAAACAGTTGTAGACAAAAACTAGAACAAGTTATTAAATATTTTTAACTCAAGTACTGTTGCTAAATCAAGTGGTTTCAACTCACTGTGGCTCTCTGTATCGAAGGCAGCATTTCTTTTACTTGCTCTTTTTCTCTCCGTGTGCACGTGTGTGTGTGTGTGTGTGTGTGTGTGTGTGCGTCTCTTCCCAGTTGATAAGACTTGAGCTGAGCGTATGTGAAATATTTATTCAGCGTTAGCTCAGAGCACTGTGGCTGCCCACACACTCTACCTGCCCTGGAGAGAAATCTTATCTGTGCTTCCTCTGACTCCGACACCCCCTGAAAGCCTGTCCCCACACTGGCCCGAGCTCAACACAAATTACATGTCTCATTGCTCTGCATTTACAGCTACTTTTCAAGCCTGCCACTGCTGTCCCCAGCATCAACCCTCTCCTCCAGACTCAGTTTCAGCTCGAATGATAAAGCACCTTCATGAGTTAAGCCTCTACTCATGCCTCTTAAAAATTAGTTTATATATATATTATATATATATATATATATATATATATATATATATATATATATATAT